CCCCACTGTTACTGAGACACGGGCACCGTGCGTCTCCCGCTGTTACTGAGACACGGGTACTGTGCATACCCCACTGTTACTGAGACACGGGCACCGTGCGTCTCCCGCTGTGTGCTGGCTCCTCCCCGACTCTGCTCCTCTTTGTCCTGGCTCATGCTCTCCTCTGACTCCCACCTGCCCACAATCTCCTTGTGCAATCAGCTCTGGTTCTGCAATTCTAGAACCTTCCTCTCCAAAAGAACCTACCGTGCGTCCTCTAACACGGGGACTTCGGTGGCTGCAAGCAGGGGCTGAGTGTCAGTGGCGAGGGAGCGCAGTCGGGCTGAAGAGGCATAAGTCGCGTGTGGAATTCACTCGACCACGTGCCCTGCTCTCTCCACAGCCATGACGGTCACCACTGACCGGTGACTTCACACACAACAGCCATGCATGATTACCACATGCGATCCTCACAGAGCCCCACAGAGCGAGTAGGGTTGCTGTCCTGAGGGAGCCAGCAGGGTCACACACCCGCCTGGTGCAGACCAGGGTCCAGTGTGTTCTCTCCCTTTCTGTAGCTACCCCCGTCCATGCTCACAGCAACTGGGGGAAAGCAGGCTGGGGTGGTTACTAGGTGGCCGACAACCGCTGACAGCAGGTGTGTATGGCTCCACTGCTTCTCACAACACGCTCAGTTCCTCCCTGCAGGGTCTCAGAAGGAAGTGGCAGCGACGTGGAAAACGCCCATCAGCAACCTGGGTGCCACCCAAAAGGAGGGGTGAAGTCTCATGGGTGAGAGAAAGAATTCTGGGTGACAGAGGGAGGCAGCGCTCACAGGCTGGGGTGATGGCACCCTCCCTCTCACCCCAGCTCTCAGCCTGTCTCTTGAAAGCATCCCAGGGAATTCTCTGCTGGGACCTGGGAGGCCTTCCCTTGCCAAGCTCGGGTAACTAATTAGAGTCGGCCTCACAAGGCAGATGGCAGGTCTGGTCGGACACGCTGGCAGGGCTGTGTCACTGCCACTGCCCACACTGTCCCGCCCCCGCGCCCTCCACCCTCCATTTTAACAATACAGTCCTTTCAGTTATCTCCTTAGGATACTTCAGGTGTCGCATCAGATGATGATGTAATCTCTGCTCAGTCTCCAAATATCATGTAAGCAATTCAGGGGTGCTGGCCTCAGAATCCCTGTCGGATAAACATTCACAATGGCCGGCTTCCGGGGGTGCCACAGGATCCCTGTGCGGCGTGGCATCTCCAGGGTCCACACTTCTCCCCACAGTCAGCTCAGGCAACCTGGGCCCTCTCCATGTTGCTCCTGGAAACACCTGCCGCTGCCGCCCACTGCCCATCCCCCGCATGCTCACAAGTAAGGCAGGCGAAACGGCTGCACCCCGCCAGCGGCACCCCCGCGGTGTCCCAGGGCGCGCGCACTGCCTGGCAATGGCGGCGATGCCTCGGTTTGTGTAAGGAGACTTTGGGGTTTGTGCAGTGATGGAATCAGCTGAGGGCACGCGCCTCAGAGCACACACACACACCGCCCGCCCTCCACTGAGTGAAGCGTCTCTGTCCCTTCTCCAACAGTGCACAACAGCGTCAGAGTCCACAGCAGCCTCCTGTCGGCTCTTGGTTGCGAGGGGCCCACGGCTGCTCACGGAGTGCTCAGCAGAGGAACTCTGACGACAGCGGTGGCAAGGCCGGGCTCGTGGCTGGAGCCACCACTTCTCACCACCAGCCGGGGCTGGGCAGGCTGCTCGGGTCCTGTGGCTGCAGGTCTGAGGGCCCGCTCCCTGATTCAGCTCTGAGACACCACCGTGCTCCTTGGCACCAACTGCGCCGGCTTGTACGCCAGCACCACACAGCCAAGCTGCTCTCAGCCTCGGAGCGCTGCGTCCCCAGACGCTGACGGCTGGAGGGGACCTGCTCCCCGGGGTCCACCCGAGCCGGGAGCCCACCTCAGGTCGCTTGATTGCGATGGTATCACCATCTGTGGTTTCTTGACAGCACTACCAGGTCAGCGCTTGCCCAAGCAGGACATGGGTCATCTCTGGTCATCTTTCAACTCATTTGACTGAACTCTGGGGACAGCCTCTCGGTAACACTTGCAGGGGAAGAGACAGGAACAGAGGACTCACGCCACTTGTGCAAGGTTCCCACCACTCCACGTGGGAGAACCGGGGTCAAACGTAAGCCCCTGAACCCAGCTTCTGAACCCACAGTGAACCACTGCACTGTGCCCCAGGGACGACGCTGACACTGACAAGCAGGGAAACTGGGAGGGGCACAGGGATCCCACAGCAGGGAAACGAGGAACGGAAAGTGCCCACATCCTGCAGGCGCGTCTCCTGCTAAGTGCCTCTCCCCTGGCGCATCGCCCCCTGAGTCCTGGCGGCCACTCCAGAGGGGTCAGCCCTCCTGCTACCGTGGCTGCTGTTTCTCCACGGCAACCTCCTCAGGTCCAGGGCAGCCAGCCGAGTCAGAGCCGGGTGAGGCCCGAGCCCCGACCAGTCACCCCAGTGGGGTCGCTTCCCTGATAGTCAGCTCACCCCCTCAGAGACCTGCCCCCCAGTCCTCACCTTTGTTAGGGGCCAGCGGGATCCTCCAGCCCTGACCTGCCCCCGCCCCCCCAATCCTCACCTTCTGTTAGGGGCCAGCGGGATCCTCCAGCCCCGACCTGGCCCCCCATTCCTCACCTTCTGTTAGGGGCCAGCGGGATCCTCCAGCCCCGACCTGGGCCCCCCAATCCTCACCTTCTGTTAGGGGCCAGCGGGATCCTCCAGCCCCGACCTGGGCCCCCCAATCCTCACCTTCTGTTAGGGGCCAGCGGGATCCTCCAGCCCCGACCTGGGCCCCCCACCCCCCGTTGCCCCAGTTCCTCACCTTTGTTAGGGGCCAGCGGAATCCTCCAGCCCCGACCTGCCCCTCCCCGTTCCTCACCTTCTGTTAGGGGCCACCGGGATCCTCCAGCCCCGACCTGCCCCCCACATTCCTCACCTTCTGTTAGGGGTCACCAGGATCCTCCAGCCCCGACCTGCCCACCCTGTTCCTCACCTTCTGTTAGGGGCCAATGGGATCCTCCAGCCCCGACCTGGGCCCCCCCGTTCCTCACCTTCTGTTAGGGGCCAGCGGGATCCTCCAGCCCCGACCTGCCCCCCCCATTCCTCACCTTCTGTTAGGGGCCACCGGGATCCTCCAGCCCTTGATCTGGCTCAGCTCCGTGTCCGAGATTTCGATCTGCAGGGGCAGCCGGGGCGCCCAGACGGTGACCTCCAGCTGGGAGGTGAAGTGCTGGTGGGTGAAGTTCACTATGGTGTCCACTTTGCTCTTCATCTCCTTCCCGTTCACGAAAATGGAATCACAGTTGTCGGAAACCTTGGAAGAAGAGGCAGAAGCCCGAGATGCAGCGGCAGGAAGAGCACGGGCCGAAACCGACAGCGGGGAGACGCCCAGGGCCGGCAGCAGCCCTGACTCCGTGAGCACCGAGGCACGCGGGACGTGGCTGCACAGAAGGTAACTTGTAGGCCTGGTCAGTGACCCGACCCGATAGGCAGATTCCAGGAAAACCGTTTTGTACCACGAAATACTGACAAGTAAAACCATAAGCATACTTTAATGAAGTCACATAACCGCTGCCGTGTGTGTGTGTGTGTGTGTGTGTGCGCGCGTGTGCGTGTGTTTTCTTTATCTTTCCTTTTTTATGTAACAAACACCACTAATCAACCCCCAGGTGCATCTTATTTCACTCTTGCACAAAAGGTGCATAAAAGGTTTTTATGTTACTAAAAAGCTACTTTATTCAAGCCATAAAGATTTTCTGAAAAAATCAAGAGAGCTCCGCACTCGATTAAAACACTCGTGACACACTGCAGACATCCAGTAATTGGGTTTCCCCCATTGAACTAGGACTTCTGCAGAGTGTGGCTGAGGAGGCAGCATTCTGAGAAGTCTCGTGACGCGGCACGTGGGGTACCCCGTCAGCATGCGCCAGCAGGTCGGGGACTGGAGGGTGGGAGCCCCCATTTCACTGCACATCTTGCAGACAGGCAACACCATGTTGCTTTCTCTCCTGAACCACCAGGAAAATGCACTGTGTGTCTTGGGGGGAAGGGAAGGAGGGAGCAAAGACCACGTTAGCAGCCTAAGACAGCAAACATGCCCTCCATCTGCCGCAGAGTCACAGATCTCAGTTCACAGAGGAAGACACCAAAGCCCAGAGGCCCACTCCAAACTCAAAGAAATAAGCCCACACCCCAGCCCCGCAGATGGCACTGACACGGATGTCTCCATCCACTCAAAAGGAAGAGACCAGCTTCCCGCTACCCAGCCCTGTTGGCGACTCAGCGGTTCACCACACCATGGCATCAAGGACCAAGGGGAAATAACCAAGGGGACACTTGAAGCTCACTGCATCCCCAGTCACGGAGACACACATGGTCACGCCCACTTCCCCGTACCAACAACGCGTTCGGGGATGCTGAACTGACCTAAGCCACTAACTGGAAACCACAGTGGCTCTGATTCGGTGACCCAGCCCACAAAGCAGGAACAGGGCTGCTGGGAGCACCCATGAGGCTGGCTAGGCCAACTCCCAGGCCCTTCTGTTCCTGTGTGACACCAAGGCCCCAGTCCCACCCTCCAGCCTCCCCTCGCTGAGCAGCAAATCTGCCCCCCGATGGTGCTGAGCGGGCAGCGTGTCTCATCCCCTGCATTCCTTGGGGGTGGAAAACAGTATTTCTTTAACCTCTGCAATTTTAGCACAAAGAATCCACTCTCCCTATGCCTCTCTTTGGTTAGCTTTTAAAAGACAGAGAAGAAAAACGATGACCCAAGCAAATCAGCTATCTTTCAAGGAATGATCGGGGGACTTCAATCTGCATGACTGTGCCCAGGATGGTAAAAAGAACAATCTGACAAGATTTCCATTGAGAGCAGAAAATGGAGCGGCTGCTCATGTTCTCATTCTAAGTCCCAGGACGCTGACACAGTGACGGCCTGACTGCCATCCATCCAGGTACTTAGAAGGGGGCTGGGAGCCCCTGCCTTCCCACGGGGGCCCTGCCCCGGGAGAGGGGGCTGGGAGCCCTGCCTTCCCACGGGGGCACTGCCCCAGGAGAGGGGGCTGGGAGCCCCTGCCTTCCCACGGGGGCACTGCCCCGGGAGAGGGGGCTGGGAGTCCTTTAAGGCTTAAGACTCAGAGAGCCCCTCCCCCCGGGCCTCCAGGCTCCATGCTGCTAGGTCTGACACACACGCCTGCTTCCTGAGGAGGTGGCTCCCTCAAGGAGGAAGGCTGCCATGGATGCTTTGGGGGGCTGTGCCCTCGCCTTCTCCCGGCTCAGGTGGCTCTCACACTGCTAAGACGTTCCCAGTCCTCTCTCTCAACTCTCCTCCATCTGTGGAGAAGTCTCTTCCTCCTTTTGGACTGCTACTGCCACTCCCAGCCCCAGGCCCACTTCAATCCCTGGATCACAGCACATCAGTTTGGGAGACCAGCAACCTTTTCCAAACATAAACAAGGAAATCACAGTCATTGTCTCCGCCCCCTTGAGAGGACAGGCAGAAACCCGACCTGCCCACCCCTCAGGCCTTGAGGGGGCAGCCCCGCAGAAAAAGCAGCTAATTAAAAATGCAACCAAGTGAGGGGCCTTAGCCGTTCTGTGTGCTGAATAGCGTTTGAGATTTTTCTTATGGGATAATCATACCCTTTAAAAAAGGGGGGCGTGGCCCTCATCCTTAAGGAATTCAATTAAAACAGCTCAATACGGCTAAGCGCATTGCGTGCCTGTGCCTGAAGTGCATGGCAATGTACAGGGGATATGAGTGACAGGTACACAGAAACCAGTTCCTCACCCCAGGGACCCCCGTTGCAGTCCACCCTCGGTACCTGTCAACTCCATACTTGTGAATTCACCTATTTGCCAAACACTGTTTGTAATCCCAAAATCGATACTCCAGGTGCTCGGGCGGGCATTGGTAGGAATGCAGATCTGTGAGAACCCTGACTCAGCTGCCCAGGCCCAGGGCCCAGCTGAGGTCACGCAGGCAACTCTGCCTTCGTGTCGGCTCTCAGAGAGGACCACAGCCTGGCGAGGAGCAGGGGCAGTGGGTGCTGCAGGCGAGAGAGCCGGGGCAGCCTGGCGAGGACCAGGGGCAGGGGTGCTGCAGGCGAGGCCCCGGGGCAGCCTGGCGAGGACCAGGGGCAGGGGTGCTGCAGGCAAGGCCCCGGGGCAGCCTGGCGAGGACCAGGGGCGGGGGTGCTGCAGGCGAGAGAGCCGGGGCAGCCTGGCGAGGACCAGGGGCAGGGGTGCTGCAGGCGAGAGAGCCGGGCAGCCTGGCGAGGACCAGGGGCAGGGGTGCTGCAGGCGAGAGAGCCGGGCAGCCTGGCGAGGAGCAGGGGCAGGGGTGCTGCGGGCGAGAGAGCCGGGCAGCCTGGCGAGGAGCAGGGGCAGTGGGTGCTGTGGGGTGCTGCAGGTGAGGCCCCGGGGCAGCCTGGCGAGGAGCAGGGGCAGGGGTGCTGTGGGCGAGGCTCCGGGGCCCGGGAGTTTGCGTCCCTCCTCTGGTGCCTGGGAGTGGAGTGGGGACGCTCAGACAAGCCACGTGACACGTCTGCACTTTGGCTTCTCCTTTGTAAAATGAAGAGATTCTCACAGGATGAGTTGCTTGGGCATTTAGGATTATACAGTCTGCAGGAGAGTGTGTGTGTTTATGAAGGGTTTCCAGAAACCCTTGTGAAAGGGCATATTATGAAAATACTGCATAAGTACTTAAAATTTGTTGCATTACCTTCTAATTACATTTTCTGTGAACATTTTGAAGCCTGTCATATATTCTAGAAGCAATGGGTCTGGGCACGAGGATTCTGTATCACAGTGACACTGTAGCTACTGCACGCAGTGGGAACTGGCCGGGGTAGACGTCATTCGCCCCTCGTGGCTGCAGCCGTCTCCCACCTCTGCACCCGCTGAGCCCCGCAGGAACCCTGAGCTGGGGACCGGACCCTCCTCTGTCCACACTAGATGCAGCCCAGAAGAAAGGACCCCATCGTGTGACAAGCGGGGTCAGCAGTGACCGCAGACTGCCGGCCAGGGCTGTGTGCAGCTCTCAATGCTCCCCAGGTGGTGCCACACCACACCTGTCACCATCCCAGCCACTGAAGCGCCTGGCCGGGCCCTGAGACTGTGCCAGCCTCCCTCTCTGGCCTCACCTGCATACCTCGCCTCCTCCCTGTGCTCCCTGAGTTCAACCCCTCCCAGGACCTTCCCCCATCCTCCCAGGACCGTGCTCTTGTGTCCCGCGGGTCTGAGGCATTCGTAACTGGTCATCCTACTAGTCATCTAACGACGTGCCTTCCTGCTAGTCCTCCAACGACAGGCCAGCCCCTCTGCCCCATGCATACCTGCACCCGCTCCTCTCCTAGTGCTAACAGTGTCTTCTTTAGAAAACCCACGGATGGCGGAGTAGGGAGGGAGCTGACCGCTCTAGTCTGGGAGACAGTTAGGAAAAGTGAAGAGAGTGCAGTCTCAGGGAAGAGTTAGAGAGAAGAGGGCAGAGGCAACCCCTCACGAATTAGAGGGCCACAGCAGACCTACGAGGAGGGTGTGGATGCGCACAACTCAGGACCCCAGCAGCCAGCTCTGCACCAGCTCCAGAGAGAGGTGAGACCAGACTGCAGCAGCCTAAGCCACTGCCAATAAAGCTGCAGGAAAAGCCTGGTGAGAATCTGGCTTGGAGCCCCATGGAGGACAGTGGACCTGCCAAGCCAGAGGAAAGGGGTGGGGGCACGCTTCTCTCTCCGAGCACCCTGCAACAGCGTCCTGGAACAAGCCAAGAGAGAGCAGGCGCCATTTTGGACACACGTAACAGCTGCACCAGCTCGTGTCCTTGCTCAGCAACCAGCAGCACGTAGACTCCTGAGTCTGGCGGGGAGCACGGACAGGGGGCTGGGTGCTCCTGACTGTGGGAGGCTTGTGTGCCAGGACTGTGAAAACACTGAGGCTGCGTGGGAAGGCTCGGGGTGTGGCTGGGACTGTGGGCAGTCTCTGGGGAGGCTCCACACGCTCAGGGCTCCCTGGTTCCCTGGAGAGGGACACTGCTGGGGACTCTGCTTACCCTGAGCACTGCACAGATCCTTGTGCGCTCCCTGTAGAAGTGCAGACGAATATTATGCCCACTGGGGCTAGCGCCCAGGCACTGGTCTCCTTAGAAGAGAGGAAATGAGCTAAGTCTACTCCAACAGAACAGAAAACTACCCCTCTGATTTAATATAAAAAAAGAGGAGATTTACCATGCCTAACCTGGGTTTAACCTTAACACCACCTTCACCTTGGAGCACGGAACAGAGCGCTCGGCCACAGCCACCACACGCCTCTAGGTAT